GAACCTCCGGAGACCGAAGACTATTTTTAGAGGGCAATAATAGTTATAATAATGTACCAAATAACAAATAAATATTATTATAATCTCAAATAATATCTGTTGCGCTCATCGAGGGAAGTAAATTAGTATTTCATGTCTATGATATTTGCGGGTTTGGACCGACACATTTGACTTGTTCAGGCATTGATTATCCGGGTTAACCTTTCCGGTTCAAAATAATAGAAAATCTATAAATGAACACTTTTAAAAAAATGTCAAAACTTGGATAACATGTGAATAGAGAGACGGAGGAAGATAGCAACACAAGATTTTTGGCATCCTTGTCTCGGGTCATGTCAGGTCCGAAGCACCTACACACACAAAAAACCATGTCATATAAGGTACTGCAGGAGAGCTCCAATATTCGTCCACGCCAATATTCGTCCTCTTTTTTTTTTTATTTGTTCTCGTTTTTCGTGGACTATTTGTTTAAAATTGACCCGAAAAGTTAATATTCGTCTCTCCTCTGACGTGGCCAGCGGGGAATCTGAGGAGGGAAAAGAAGATGATTGCCAGTACCAAGTGCTGAAATTAGAGAATGGCTGTCCACTTGGGCCTTTTTTTTTTTTAATTCAAAAGATACTAGTACATTTTTTTTAACACAGTCTACAGTATAATTACGTCATCAGGACGAGTCATAACGGTAAAGAAATAAAAAGTACAGTGGTTAAGATGTAATTAAATTGTATTTGCCATGATTTCCGATGTCGATTTTCTATTGTAATTGCTTTAAAAAAAATATAGACAGGCAAATTAGGGACATGGGGGTGAATGTGTTCCACTGCATTCTCTTAGCGGCGTCCGTGGCTAAGGCGTTGCGAGTCCGACTCGTAATCCAACGTACCGCGATCGAAACCTGAGTAAGCTGCGTGGATTTTTATCGTGGTATGGGACGTCGCAGGTCGACCCAGCCTCAAATGGATACCAGGATGGGCTGTCCTGGGAAAGTAAAGACGGCCGGCGTAATGCTGACCACATTACCCACCGTGTGCCGATTGGTCTGTAAAAATATGGGTGCTCTTCCCGTATGCCCGATGCGCCTAAAGGAGTGTAAAGGGATCTTTACTTTACTTTTACTTATGCAGCGGTAAGCACTTGATAGAAGTTTGTTTTCAACATTCCTACAAGTTAGTCACTGCTTTAAAAAAATTAAAGCGATCTCAGTGGTCAAGTGGTCAAGCCGTTTGCCCTGCGCTCTGAATATAGCGGGTTAATTTCATGGATTCGTCATTCAGTTAACTAGTGCAATTTTCATAGTGATCACTTAGTTACGGAGATCGTTCTTTGTGGTGACGGACGAGTAACGGTTGACTCTGTAGCAGCTGCAATAGGGTGAGCACATGGTTTAGTATATAACGTAATGCATGATCGATTGAAACTTAAAAAAGTATGCTCAGTGTGGGTACCCAGACAATGGACGGACAAACACAACATGAATCGATTAGGTCTGTCCTTGCAGCATTTCTATTGATACGCAGATGAAGGAAAAGACATGCTGAACAGGATTTTTACTGGGGAAGAATCATGGGTGGATCACTACCAGTCTAAATCAAAGCGTGCTTTAATGCAATGAAAACATCCTTTTTCGCCTTGTGTTCCAAAATTCCAGTTTACGCCATCAGCAGGGAAGATTATGCTGGCAGTGTTCTGGGATTGTCAGTCAGTGCTTTTAACCAATTTAAAAAAAAAGTGACAATGTGAATGATGATTCATACTGAAAAATTATATTGATTCTTCATGATGCAATTCGAAGAAAACGTACAAGCGCGCTACAGAGTCAACTGGGACTCACCTGTCACCTCTAATCATCACCTTCACACACTGCATTTACAATTTTAGAACGTCTTTGAGGACAAAAACCTTTACCCAGCTATACACCGCTTTACGGGATAACATTTGTCGGCATAAACAGGAAGCAGTAGCAGGCAGCCCTTTTGGCTTAAAAAAAAACAACACACAACAGCACTTTGTTCTTTGAGGATACACTCCGTAAGTACAGTCGCCATTTTGTTTTCTGTTGAGAATGCGCATGCAACACCTAGTGTCGCCTAACGAAGGGAGAGAAACAGTTCGATGTTGCTGTCACCTAAAGACATCTTTAGAAACCACCAACTACATTTTCCTGCCATCCCCTAACCATTTGTGACTTACTTATTGACTACACCTCGTGTTTCCCGATTATACCTGGAGATTACGGTATATTTGTTTCTTTTCTGCCTTCAATTTCGAAAAGGAAATATGTTGTATTGTTGTTTACAGTAAGGCTGCGACATCTACTCAGCTCGGCCAAACATCTGGTTTCTATTTTTATTATCAACGTCCTTTTTAGGATGAAATTTTTCGTTATTTGAAGCCCCACTCTGTCTCTTTCCAGGGGCCGCAGTATAGCCAGGCCATAAATATGACCAATTGGCAAAACGCGGTTTCTGGGACCTCTCCACGGTGATCTTCATCCACATGGTGGCACTTTGTGTCATCGGGTGTTTATCGCTTGTGTGATGTCCTGGTGGGGTAGAAAGTCAGTCAGTCAGTCTGGTTTCTGTAAATCCTTTATTAACAACTTTAGTCCCACACATGTAGACCTTCGACTCATCTTTGCTCATGAAACTGATGCTTAAAGTAATATATGCATGGGTACGAAGGGGTCTAAATAATCCAACTTTGGGGCAGGAGGAAGTGAAGTAACAATGGAAAAGAGTGGGTTAATGCTAAAATTTCATGAGGTGCAATCGGCTTAGAAAAGCACAGCATGCTAGGCAACTCCAGTAAATACTTGGTGTGTTGCTTGATACTCAGAGAGTTAATAGCCTTCAACGACATTCTTGTAAAGGGACAGTGGGTCTGTTCGTTTGTCTCCCAAAATAGGATCCTGGAACCCACATGAAGAGACACACAGACAGACAGAAGTCAGACAGACAGACAGACAGACAGACAGACAGACAGACAGACAGACAGACAGACAGACAGACAGACAGACAGACAGACAGACAGACAGACAGACAGACAGACAGACAGACAGACAGACAGACAGACAGACAGACAGACAGACAGACAGACAGACAGACAGACAGACAGACAGAAGTCAGACAGACAGACAGACAGACAGACAGACAGACAGAAGTCAGACAGACAGACAGACAGACAGACAGACAGACAGACAGACAGACAGACAGACAGACAGACAGACAGACAGACAGACAGACAGACAGACAGACAGACAGACAGACAGACGGACGGACGGACGGACGGAAATACAGACGGACGGACGGAAAGACAGACAGACAGACAGACAGACAGACAGACAGACAGACAGACAGACAGACAGACAGACAGACAGACAGACAGACAGACAGACAGACGGACGGACGGACGGACGGACGGACGGACGGACAGACAGACAGACAGACAGACAGACAGACAGACAGACAGACAGACAGACAGACAGACAGACAGACAGACACGGGAAGGGTGTATGATTCTCAAGAACATGCTACTTGAATCAATATTTTAATTTTTTCGTGGAGACAAAGCTGACAGAAGCACACATGGATATTCACAAGCTTATAAAAAATCAGTTGTAGTAAACTCTGTCCAGCGGAGGTAATACTGTTCAGGGGCGTTTACAAAAAGAAAATATTGGGTTGGGAAGCAGTTTATCATTTCCTCTGGGACACGCACATACACACACTCACACAAACATACACACATACACAAACATACACACACATACACACGCACATATACACACACATACATACATACATACATACATACATACATACATACATACATACATACATACATACATACATACATACATACATACATACATACATACATACATACATACATACATACATACATACATACATACATACATACATACATACATACACACATACACACACACGCATACACATACACACTCACACACACTCACACACACGCACACGATCACACACACTCACACAATACACACATACACACACACTCACACACAAACACACTTTCACACACACACACACGCACACACTTTCACACACACACGCAGACACACTCACACAGACATTCACACATACGCACACATACACACACATACATACACACACACATACTCACACATACACATATATATACGCACACACTTACACACTCATACACGCATACACACACACACACACACTCACACACACACTCTCACACACCCACACGCTCACACACACACGCTCACACACACACACACTCACACACATACATACACACACACACTCTCACACAAACAAACTTTCACACGCACACACTTTCACACAAACACGCACATACACATATATATACGCACACACTTACACACTCATACACGCATACACACACACACACTCACACACACACTCTCACACACATACACGCATACACACACACACACACTCACACACACACTCTCACACACCCACACGCTCACACACACACGCTCACACACACACACACACACTCACACACATACATACACACACACACTCTCACACAAACAAACTTTCACACGCACACACTTTCACACAAACACGCACACACTTTCACACACACACACAAATACTTAAAAGAGAACGTGTATTCATGTTTACTGTGACCTTTGACCAACTTGTATGTTTTCGTCTGTTACAACATGCATGCTTGCCTTACCCACCCCCCCCCCTTTTTTTTCTATACACACAAGCACACACACACACACACACACACAGAAATGTTTAACAAGAGAACCTCGATACATGGTTACAGGGACTACATAGCACGCCTGCAAACTGACTCAGGTGGGGTGGGGTCATTCTCAGCCACCCACCGCTGCCTTACAATATATCGGGTGAAGATGGTTCATGGAGTATGCACACCCCTTCCCCTCCCCCTCGCCCACATATTCCGGTGCCTGTAATAGCGTTAATCGTTTATCACTGAAGACACTCGTGGATTTATTTTTTAATAATAAATGCAGGAATTTGTTCGGCTGTGACAATTTCAGGTCTGGAAATGCTGATCTTTGGAGCCTCCTCGACTTTAATTTCTTGTTCTACAATGGTATGAGTTTCGAGGCTGCTCCTGAAAAAAACCCACTAATTAGTTCAGTAGTAGTAGTAGTAGTAGTAGTAGTAGTAGTAGTAGTAGTAGTAGTAGTAGTAGTAGTAGTAGTAGTAGTAGTAGTAGTAGTAGTAGTAGTAGTAGTAGTAGTAGTAGTAGTAGTAGTAGTAGTAGTAGTAGTAGTAGTAGTAGTTGTTGTTGTTGTTGTAGCAGTAGTTGTAGCAGTAGTCGTGGTGGTGGTAGTAGTGGTAGTAGTAGCAGTAGCAGCAGCAGTAGCAGTAGCAGGAGTAGCAGCAGCAGCTGTAGCAGTAGTAGTAGCAGCAGCAGCAGTAGTAGTAGTAGTAGTAGTAGTAGTAGTAGTAGTAGTAGTAGTAGTAGTAGTAGTATTAGCAGCAGCAGTCATACTAGTAGCAGTAGTAGTGGTGGTGGTGGTAGTAGTACTAGTACTACTAGTAGTAGTAGTAGTAGTAGTATTAGTAGTAGTAGTAGTAGTAGTAGTAGTAGTAGTAGTAGTAGTAGTAGTAGTAGTAGTAGTAGCAGCAGCAGCAGTCGTAGTAGTAGCAGTAGTAGTGGTGGTGGTAGTAGTGGTAGGTAGTAGTAGTAGTAGCAGCAGCATCAGCAGCAGCAGCAGCAGCAGCAGCAGCAGTAGTAGTAGTAGTAGTAGTAGTAGTAGTAGTAGTAGTAGTAGTAGTAGTAGTAGTAGTAGTAGTAGTAGTAGTAGTAGTAGTAGAAGGGGCACTAGTACATTAGTAGTAGTAATGGTGGCGGTGGTGGTGGTGGCAGTAGTAGTAGTATGTATTATGAACAGCATTATTTCCATTCAACCAATAATAAATGTAAATGAACATTACCCCCCACCAAACACCCTACACAAGAGGTGCCGAAATGAAGAACAAATTGGCGGAGGGAAGCATGGTTCTTGTTTAAGTGCCTAATAATATGCTTAATGGCCAAAAAATAATATTATTTTTGAAATGCTATTATATGTTTGAAGAAAACTTAAAAACCTGATCGGGAGGGAGGGGTGGGGGGGGGGGGGGAGTTTAGACCTATTACAAATCTGGGGGAGGTGGGGGGGGGCTGGGCGTCCCTGCTCCTAAATTTATTTCACGGGGAGTCAACGTGCTCAGCCCTCTATTTCAAGCGGCTCGTCTCTCTGACAAGACAAAGGAATCGATTACTTATAAAGTGTTACACAGGTATGTCTGGATCTTACTTGAAAACGGGCAGGTGGAGAAGAACCAGGCAACCAGAACCAGCCAGCAACATGAGTCCTCCCATGAAGAATGACATGTCGTAGGATCCAGATGTATCAAACATGAATCCTGAAAACATCAAACATGATTTTCTTATTCTTGAATTTTTTGACAGTCGTTTCTATCATTTTGTAAAAAATTTAGAGGGCCTGTTACCTCACTTTCAGTCGTATTGGTTTTCAAAGACCAATCAACACTCGGTGTGTCATGTGATCAACATCACGCCGGCCGCATTTACTACCCAGGATATTCCTGCGACCAGTTTGAGGCTGAGTGAGGATGGGAGACAAGTCGTGTTATTCTAGGTCCAGTTCTGTTCCAATATGAACTAACCACCTACGGATCTGCTGGCCAGCATCCAGCAGCTAAACTACGTCAGCTCTCTTATTGTGTTTACTCTTGTGCTTGTTCTTTCATTTTCTTTATTCTTTCTTTCTTTCTTTCTTTCTTTCTTTCTTTCTTTCTTTCTTTCTTTCTTTCTTTCTTTCTTTCTTTCTTTCTTTCTTTCTTTCTTTCTTTCTTTCTTTCTTTCTTTCTTTCTTTCTTTCTTTCTTTCTTTCTTTCTTTCTTTCTTTCTTTCTTTCTTTCTTTCTTTCTTTCTTTCTTTCTTTCTTTCTTTCTTTCTTTCTTTCTTTCTTTCTTTCTTTTGTCTTTCTTTCTTTCTATATATCTTTCCTTCCTTCCTTCTTTCTTTCTTTTATTCTTTCTTTTTCTCTTTCTTATATACTGTGATAATGTCACACCTTATGCTGTCAATGATTCCCTTTTATTCATAATTTCTCCCAGGTTTCCCTCTACGTTCTGGTGTTTCCGTTTTGTGTGTGTGTGTGTGTGTGTGTGTGCGTTTGTCTACTCTCTCTGCCGACATAGTTGGCTTCCTTCTCACTAGGTAGCCAAACCATTTCATTCGTTTCTCATAATTTAACAGTTTGTACTGTTCAAACAGCTCTTTTAACGTCTTCATTTCTTACACGATCTTTTCTGGTTTTGTTGACAGTCAAACATCTTTCATTGGTGGTTAGTATACTCGCGTGTTCTTTGGTTAAGGTTTAAGCCTGACTCCGGTATCCCAAAGTTCCAACAAGCCAGACACGCTAGCGCCGTCGGTTAAAACCCTCTGCGCTGCGACCGGATGACGAACTCTTTGTTGTCCGGGTTTACGCTCCGGGGTAGGCACAGAAGCCACATTTCTCCCATATTTAAGGTATCAGTCATGGAACCAAGGCCGAAGGGTTGCGATATCCACAAGTTTGGTAATGACTTATCGTTCGATCTGTTTGTCCCTTCTGGGTTGTTACCTGAAGGATTACCCAAATGTCTCTATCTAGACAGCAGACCAACAGACCAGATGCCAGATACTACCTCCAACCCCCAGATGGGTTATAATCATTGCATCCGTGACGGTCACAGTGTCACCAGTGATGGTAAGGACTAGCAAGGATAGAGACCCCAAGCAACAGCTGATAGATCTTACCTGCCAACGGTGGACCAAGTATGGCTGCAGTGCCTCGCACTAACGTCAGAAGACCAAAGGCGTTTGTCAGTTTCTCAACTCCCATTCTGTCACATATAACGATTGACGACAAGGCGATAAAGGCAGCTGCGAGAAAAGGCAAGAGTATTTCGTTGTCAAGTTAATACATTGCGTAATACTTCTGGGCGGGAAGGGGCGGGGGATAGAACCACTGCTCTCATTAACGAGCATGTGGTTAAAGCGACTAACCAAGGGTTTGCTGAAATCATATGCCTCCCATGTGCAGTAGAAATGTCCCAGGTATGGCCAGTTGATGTGAGGGTGGAAACAAAACAGTATGGATCAGGGGAGGACATGCCTAATACCACAAACTTCATAGAGACGTGTGTGCTCTCATCTGAAACACACCAATATGGAGAAAGAAAACATGAGGACGGAGATGTGCTGAGGCCGAAAGGTACAGATATCACAGTCTTTCAAAATCCCCCCAGAATGTGCCAACAGAACTTTAAAAAAATTAGGAATCGACATTATAGCACTCAGGACACGTCCCATCTCTGTACACTAGTCAGTCACTGTGTCTACAGTTGTCTGTAGCTCTTGTGCTGCCTGTTGTCTGTCGCTCTCCTGCCTATATGCAAAATCATCATCTGCAAATGTCAATATCCTTCAAACACCAGGTGCTTCAAATGCTGCAGTCTTGCTTGTATACATACAGAAAAGCACTGATGAAACGGTTCTGAATTCCATGTAACCAGGCGAATGATAACCGTACGTGAATGTAGGATAGCTGATCATTAAACGCGTGCAATGTGATGTCTGGCCGAGTTCGCACCAATCCGCTTACTGTAAACACGTTAATTTTATACTTTGAGTCGGTTTCGGTTTTCTCATATACCACAAATAAAGCAGAATTAAAAACTAGATGTGTGTTTACATTATAATGACTTTCTTACGATGTCATGGGTTCACCAGCCAGGGGCAAACTCCATCTCCATGTGCGCAGATAACAAAATATCATATCTGACTCTGTTGTAGGTATCCGCAAGATCAAGTGCTGCCATTACGGTTTCGTGTCTGTTCTGGAACCCCTCATAAACATCAAAAGGAAAAAGAACTGCATTTGACCAGGTATCTTTTCTTGGCCGGTAACTACCTAAATCTTTTGGGCGGGGTTCTTCTATTTCCAGAAACATTTGTAGTTTTACAGCAATAATCTTCTCTAGCACCTTGCCAAAGGTATTTTGTAGGGTGATAAACCTGAAACTGCCGAGTCTCAAATGATCTTTGCCTGATTTTCGAAGTAGGATCAATTAGCGTATTACTAATCCTGGGGTACTAAAGCTGTTATATTGCTCTAGTTAAAGTGAAAAGCCATCTTCCTCAAGTCTTCATCATTCATGCTCTTTGTGTGGACATACCTGACTCCGTCTGGCCCCGGTGCAGTGTCTTTTGCTTTTTGCAATATATATTTTATATCACCCACCCTAATGATATCCTGAAAATAATGATCATTTATAGCATTGAACAGATTATCTCTGACTTAATGTCTAAGTTCCTTATCATTATGATCAGTTGCGCTATAAATCTCTCCAAAAATGCTTCCCCCTTCTCTTAGTCGGTTGTCATCGGCACAACATAAAAATGTTCAAGAACGAACGCAGAAGAGGAAGTACACTTCAAGCAAAACGCCTTCTACACTAGCTTTGGGAGCCAGGTAACGCAGCGGATAGACGCTTGCCTGGCTTGTCTGAAAGTCTTAGGATCGAAAATCCCATTATAGTGTGGTGTTGACCACCTCTAGCAACATACACTTGATACACCAGTGGTGTTGAGAGGGTCCTTGATTTTATATGGAATATCCTAATGGTCGACGAATCTCTGAGACCATGGAAATAACATGAGGCATACGTTCAGATGTTGAGTTAAAGGTGACAGGATCGACTTCAGTGCATCTAGTTTTATACAGTATGGTTCAGTCTCTCTCCCCAAAACAGCTAGCTAGCTGCTTGCCGACAAAGGTCAAAGAAATTCGGCGCTGTAAGAAAACAGCAGCATTTGTGCAATTGTCAACATGAGAAATCTACGACCACGTGCACTAATACGTGTTGATCTGTACAGGAGTTTTCGAGAAATTTGACTAAATTCAAGGGCACGACTTTTAGAACGGACTATATAGCATCTCCTCTAAGTGTGGAGAGTCGTTCAGATCTCTTGGTTTTTCCCAGATGCAGGATTCTCTTCCGACGGTGATGATTTATTTGTACTGTTACACTGTTCACACGCTTCCAAATTGTCTTGAACGTATATGTATCTTGTTAATCATCACCGCCACAAGTGGTGCTGAACCAGCCAGTGTGCCTGCCTATTAATTTCCCAAGACACAAGAAAAAGCTTGCAAAAATATTCAAACGACACTAAGTACTCAGGTCTTCTGAAGCAATGCTTGTTACTCAGCAGGGAGCATACCTGTCTCCCCGATTCTCGGCATACTATGTGGGTCAGTCCCGACACGAGTATTGCAGCTAGTTATCAAGTCAGCAGAAGGTTGCTGTGACTGTCTCCACCTCTGTTCTTAAACCATCTATGCTATCAAATAATCATCTTTGTTGAACTAGGCGATATCCATTGGCTTTGCCGTTGAATCCACATTAACTTTTTTCTGTCTCTAAGCAATTTGCCCTATGAAAAGACAGTCACATTATCTGGGTGAAAGTAATCAAGAATCAGTTATTCAGTTTCTGATTCTGCAATGTGAAGATGAGATTAGGCGAGTCTTGACAACATGAAAATTTACAATTATAGTAACCACACAGGGATTCAAACTGAAACTCACCCATTCCCAAACCAAAGATAGCAGCAACCGTAGCCAGGAGCGGATAAGTGTTGCAGAAGGGGACAAGTCCAGTCGCTATTCCCATAATAGCCACAGCAACATATGTGATGACCAGGCTGTCTACGATGTGGAGGTCAGCCACTTTACCGATGACCACTCGCCCTGCAGTGTTTGATATACCTGCAAATGTTCACATTATACGCGTGTAATATAGACAGTTATGCAAATGCATAGACAAACACGTAACAGTGTCCGGAATGAACCAGGCTAAATGAATGGATGTATGGTGGAAAGATAGACAGATCGATGCCGACAGACAGACAGACAGACAGACAGACAGACAGACAGACAGACAGACAGACAGACAGACAGACAGACAGACAGACAGACAGACAGACAGACAGCTCTATAGATAGATAGATAGATAGATAGATAGATAGATAGATAGATAGATAGATAGATAGATAGATAGATAGATAGATAGATAGATAGATAGATAGATAGATAGATAGATAGATAGATAGATAGATAGATAGATAGATAGATAGATAGATAGATAGATAGATAGATAGATAGATAGATAGATAGATAGATAGATAGATAGATAGATAGATAGATAGATAGATAGATAGATAGATAGATAGATAGATAGATTAGATAGATAGATAGATAGATAGATAGATAGATAGATAGATAGATAGATAGATAGATAGATAGATAGATAGATAGATAGATAGATAGATAGATAGATAGATAGATAGATAGATAGATAGATAGATAGATAGATAGATAGATAGATAGATAGATAGATAGATAGATAGATAGATAGATAGATAGATAGATAGATAGATAGATAGATAGATAGATAGATAGATAGATAGATAGATAGATAGATAGATAGATAGATGCAGACGAACAGACAGGAAGACATGAAAGCAGGCAGACGAATAGACTGACAGGCAGGCAGACAGATAGACAGAACGCGTAACAAACGATGTAAGAACTCACCAATGACGGAGATCAGGAAGGCAGCCAGTGATCGATCCACCCCTTGTGAGGCTGTCCGGTCCACCAAGAACATAAATGGAACATACATGCCTAGAAACGCGGTAAAGTTCCCCAAACAGATCATCATAAACCCAACATCTTTAAACAAAGACACGTCCATCATCTCCGCCAGCACGTCCTGGACAGGTGTGGGCAGACAGCTGAAGAACCGTTGAACACCCCTCTCTCTGGGGATCATAGTTATGCTGGCAATGTAGCTCTTCATGTCTGGCTGCGAGTGGAATTGTGGGATGTTTAGGACACTTCCGCTGTAGAAGATGTCTTTGCGGTAAAGCGGACGGGCCAGATCTTCCTTGGAGATGTGTAAAGACTTCAGGCTGTCTGTGGGCAGTGCTATGTTACGCACGACTGGAGCCGATACCTCCAACAGAGGTAGAATTTCTGTGATCGTTGACTGAGAGTCTCCATTGGGAAAGTTCTGGTTGGATTTCTGAGAAAAAAACAGGAACAAAAAAATATGTTTAGACTGATTTTTTACTTCAGGAGAACCGACGCAAAGAAAATATGCGTGCGGCGGGATTCGAACAAAGCTTTTGTTTGTGCCTAATGATGAATAATGATGATGATGATGATCACTAATGCACGAGAAGACCACCTGTGAGTAAAACGAGTGTGAAATGTGTGCAATCTGATATTTTTAAAGTTCCCCTTGCCCAGTTTATTCAAGTTACGGTAAGCATACTGATTGTTTGCTTTAAATCAGTGTCTGTTTTTTCTTCTGTAAGTAAGGCAAATTGAAAACTGAATGTCTGAGTACATTCAAATAAGAAATTCTTACAGAGACATGGTTATTTATTACCAGTCTGATGCCAAACTTCAACATCTTACACCGACCGGTTTCTGCATTACAGATTCTAGAATTTGGCAGGACTTTTGAAACAGACTATTTCTTTTAATCACTGATTTTCACACTCATTATGTTCAGTTGACTAAAAGCTGCTTTGTATTATCAGTGTTGAGCGTCGGCCAGATCATCTTGTCACTTCTCGTTCAAAGCATTCTCCTCGTACCGCGATTTTCTATTTGTGCCTGCATTATGTAAAATAAATACACGTTTTACATTTCTTAGAATGACATATATAAGGCAAGGCTCAAAGAAAGAAGGGAGGGCGAAGTGCACTAGGAAAAACAGAGGGGCACACGTATAAAGGCTAAGAAATTAGTGAGAGAAAGGGAGGACGATTGAGAGAGAGGGAGAGAGAGGTGATGGGTTAAAGGGAGTCAGAAAGAGGACGGGAGAGAGAGAAAACCAAAAACTAACTTTATTTCCAAAGGGTTCCTAATTGGGCACGCAGGCCCGTCTTACATTCGGCCCCTTTTCAGCACTCATCTTTCATAAGGCAACTGTATTGTATATATCAAGCATGTTCATATATCAAAATAGTTTGGCTATGAGGAAAACACAGTTATAGATGGCCTATACATACCTTCAAAGTTACGTGCAAAATATAGAATGAGAGAGAGAGAGACAGCAAGAGAAACACAGAGAGAGAGAGAAAGAGACAGAAAGAGAAAGAGAGAGAGAGAGAGGGAAAGAGAGAGAAAGAGAGAGATACCAAACATTAATGTTGCTCTGCATATGTACTCTATACTGTTACATTGGAACCCACGATAGTGTACTGGCCTGATGCTCCTTGTCGGTCCAGAGGTCTTAGGTTCGAACCCACATCGAGATAATTGTTCTAAAATTGGTCCTGATTCCCATGTTGGCCCATTCTCAAATGGTAACCACGAAAGTAAAGATGACCAGCGTGTTGTTGACCACCTCCCCCGCCCCTCCCCCTCCCTCCCCCTCCCCCGTGTCGACTAGTATATACAAAAGCGTCTAGCATCATATGCCCTACGTGCCAATGTTGTAAAAATGTCCTTTGCTTTTAAAGCTTACCTTGACATCACCAAAAGCTGCAATGTGCCCCCCGAGTTTGACGTTCGTGGTATCTTCACTGAAATGAAAGATACACAAGAACAATATTGTAAATGATAATGGAGAAGAGAATTGTTCTATTTTGCATATCACAACATTTTGTCTTGCTCTTTTTCTACGTCTCGTCGCCGTCGTCGTCATCATCTTCTTTCTTTCTCTCCTATTCATCGTTTCATTAACCCACTTCTTTCTTCTTCTTCTTCTTCTTCTTCTTCTTCTTCTTCTTCTTCTTCTTCTTCTCTTCCTCCTTCTCCTGCTGCTTCTTCTTCTGCTTCTCCTCTTCTTATTCTTTTTCTCCTTTTCGTCGCAATCGTCCTCATCTTCTCTCTCTCTCTCTCTCTCTCTCTCTCTCTCTCTCTCTCTCTCTCTCTCTCTCTCTCTCTCCTACGTATAGCATGCTCCACCTCCTCCGCTCCTCTTCTTCTTCTTCGTCTTCGTCTTCTTCTTCTTGGTCTTCTTCTATGTTTTCTGCTGCTGCTTTTGCAGAACGTAGCTCTCATCACGGTCCAAAGAAAGTCAGCCTCTCGTTTACTCTTCCTACCCAGGGTATCATGTAAATCCTGTGCCAATCTTTTGTACTGGTCGGTCCCTGCTGTTTTTTCTGGTACCATGCCTTCTGCTATTATTCTTTTCCCTCCGCTGTGGCGCTGGATATGGCCAAACTATTTCAGCTACCGAGACAAGATGCTGTTTACAAGCCAGCAACCCTTGATGTTTAAACCGTAATGAAAATATTAATTTAACATAAATTATGATAACCATGTTTGTCTTTTTAGACCATGTGCAACAACAACAAACAATAAAATTCTAAGTTACCCTTCAGTTTTGCTGTTCGCTGATTCTCCTCTTTCTTGTTTGACCGTTAGAAAACTAGACTGTTGTTCTGATATGGAGTGAGGGTCCCAAAGCCGTTTCTCTCTCAGTATTTTGGCTGCAAGAACCCTTTCCTGGATTGTTTGGGGATCGCCTGCAGATGCTGAGCCGTCACCGCACTCAGAAACGGACCTGTTGGAGTCGCATAAGTAATTTCGTGTTAAAAAACGCGTTTGATTATTAAGTGTTCACTTAAAAATGATAAAATTGGTATTAACAGTAGTAAACTGTATAATAACCAGCGGTTAAGACAATGTTTGTTTATAGTCATCCCCAAGGCTTGACGACTGATGTAGGCAAAGTGTCACAGATTTTGTAATATTTAGGATCAACAAACAAACACAACTCCACTGAGACCAGTCCCAAGCCCCGCTATAACAGGAGAAGGTCTCGCTGAACCTGAGCGCTTCATGCGTCTCCAGGTCTTACAAACTCGAATGGATCAGTCACAGTTACCATGGGTTGAACATGTGTGTTGAATGGGAGGGAATCGACCACCACGGCAGGAATGGGATGTTAACAACCAGGGAACCAGACCTTGAGGGTGACCCAGGGGCAGCTGGAAAAAAAATATTTGACAGTCCCTGACTGACAGAGCACTAGAATGGAACAAAGCCAGAAAGAAAACTGCTGATAGAGAAGTCCTGCGATCTCTCTGGCAAACCTCTACATCCCAAGGTAAAAGAGGAGCGACTTAGTAATTAAGTGAAAAACAAAAATGGTGACTGCACAGAAGAAGTCAGAAAGACTTGCCATAGCAATACAGAGACTAAACATCATGAAGAACCTGTGGCATAGTATATGTAAGCCAGTTAAACTAAAACTCTTGAGATCTTGCATCTTTCCAGTGACGACCTATATGTATATATATGAGTCATGGAGTCTTACTCAATCATTGAAGAAAACAATCGGAGCTTTTGAACTGAAATGCTACAGAGGAATTATTAGAATACTAAGAACAAAGAAGAAAACAAAAGTGTACATGATCTGAGCAAAAAGGAGAATTTGCGCATAAACAGCATCCTGTCCAAAAAGTTGGACTGTTTAAGGCACGTCAAACGTCGTGGTGGCGTGGGGAGAACGGTGATTTAAGGTACAGTTTCCTGAAAACGAGGCAGAAGTAGACCTCTGCGAAGGCGGATGCAAGACATTAAAGATGCGCTGGTTATGAAAGCACATAGAGCTGGAGAACTGCAGAGAAAGTGGGACTTTCGAGCATGCAGTGACGAGATGCAGTAAAGCAAACCAAGTATTGGGACAGCTAGCCCCCCTCTTACAGCATAAGACAATCCCAGTCAGCACAAAGAGACATCTAATTCAAAGCATATTTATTCCAACTCTGTGCTACCAGTGCCAGACATGGTCACTCACAACAAACCATAAAAGAAAATTAGTAACCACGGAAATGAGATGTCTGAGAAGGGCTGTAGGAGTGACCATAAGAGATAAGATCAGAAATGAGATCATAAGAGAACAAGTCGGCACAGAACCAATTCTGGATTACATACAAAGACAGCAAGTAAAATGGTTTGCCCACTTAGAGAGAATGCCTTGTGACACCATACCATACAAAGCATACATGGGAAGAGAAGAAGGACGTAGAGCACGGGGTAGACCAAAAACAAGATGGAAGGATAACATCAGAGAAACTCTACAACAGCACGATGTGACTATGGTCGAGGCAGCCAGAAGAGCTAGAAACAGAACCTTATATCTCCCTCGACACCCACAGCGGTAAAAGAGGAAGTGAAGAAGAAGAAGAAGAAGTGACGAGAGCTGTGTTCTGTAAAGGACCTGCTGAAAGATGATGATTTGAGAATTTCAAAACGATCACTGGCGGAATGAGTAGATATGAGTATCAGCAATGTTATAGTGACTCAGGCATTCTGCACAAGACACTCAGGAGTTGCGAGGTAATTAAAGGGCGGGTTTTTGGCAACAGTAGGGACAAGGCAAACATTCGTAAGACCATTTATGAACTAAAACTAATGGGAGATACAGTGTTAATTGAAACAACATATATAAGGTTACGTGGGTTTGGAATTCTTTGTAGGTACAGCAAGAAAGGACGTTTTGAGGAGAACAGTAGGTCATGTGTACAACAAGTGTACTATTGGAACAGTTAGAACAAACACTTTTAAGACATTTGCTGCTGGAGACCTAGGTTCGAATCCATGCAGTCTGTCGGTCCATTTTAGGGAGAGAAAAACATAGAAATCGACCATATTCAACCTACGGCGAGCAGTATCGGCTATAATTGTGGTCTGGTTTGTTTGTGCCAAGAATATTGGCTAAGAAGTGTTAGTTGCACATGTTTGTCAGGGCCTGTGGATCCATCCTTTTTTAGTGGAGAATGGAGCCCCGAAAACGAAATAGGGATCTAGTACATTCAACAGCGAGGTCTTACAATGTGTATATTCTCCAGGTACCTGAACCCACCTGTTCCTCAAATATGCAGATTCTTTAACTCTGTCAAAGATGTTTTTAGCTCTCGGTTCTTTACTGGGTTGAGGAACCGATGTCTTTGCTTCTAGCGGTCGCATTAGAGTCCCACACACACATCCCTGAGAAACATATTAAGTGTTAGGATATTAAATAATAATATTCTTTATTTAGGACAATTAAGTTCATCTGATATAAGAACTGACACAATCTTACTGGAGACATTTTCATAAGCAGACAGTACAATATTTTTAAATTAGAAACGTCAAACTACTTCAAGTCACAAACCAAGAAACTCTAGACAGTATGAAAACCAGGAGAAGATGGAAATTGGCCTGGCTACGTTATGAGAATGAATTCTGATATACTTGGCAAAACAGCTCTCACGTGGACACCAGAGGGAAAGAGAAAACAGGGGCGCCCAAAAATAACATGGAGACGAACGATGGAAAGTGACCTGAGTGCGACATCTCTGACATGGACAACTGCACTGAAGATTGCATAGGACAGGTAAGAATGGAAAGTCCTCTTTGAAGCCTCAGGTGCCACTAGGCATAAAGAGAACTGATGATGATGATATTACATATCATATAACAAGGAACATATAATGGCTACCTATGTTTCCCTCCTGATGGCTAACTTAAAATTTGATCATGCTGAGACTGTAAGAATCCTATCCTGGATGGCAAACCAACAGGCAAATCTCAGATAACATATTCAATCCCCAAATAGGTTTTAATTGGGACACCCATAAATACTATACCAATTATTACACTATCCTGAAGTTTTGCGGGAGAGCACACAAAAAAAGTGGTGGTGGGGGGGGGGGGGGGGTGGGGCGTGTGATTGTCCGGACGTAATTCATTGTTACAGACATAATAGTAATCTGAAAGTTTTCAAACAGTGTCAGTATAACATATTACAAATACAAAGAAAGAGACACAACACATGGCTCATAGTACTACTGTAGGTATACTACAACCACCACAATAGCAACCACCACTTCTACTACCATCATCACTACTACTACTACGATCAACGTCAAGACTATTATTGCCACACCAGCCACCACTACTACCACCATTACTATTACTACTACAAACACC